ATATTTATAAAAATAATGCAATTTTGCAGTTAATTGTGATTCCGTCAATTAGCAAACTACGATTACTTTTTTTTTGCCCCAAATTAACTGTAATTGATAATTTATGCAAAGTTTTAGATCGATATGTGCTAAGGACGGATAGAATTTTACGAAAATTAAACAATTTAATACGATTTTAAAAAATTATTTCAATATTTGCGGTTAGTTGTGTTTACAGGCCAACGTTATTCATCTTCTTTGCCTATGCCAAGCGCCGGCTCCTTATCTTAGACTTAGAAGCTGATGTACATATGCCATCCACATCAGCTAAGTGTCTTAAGATGATTCTAAGACTAATTTAAAGGAAAACTTTCACAAAATCAACTACTTGTGGTAAGAGTACATTAAGTTTATGTGAACGTATGCGACGATTTGATTTAGGCCTGTTTGGCCCGTAATGCTTCCGTAATGTCTGCCTATGTTTGTTCTTGTATTCAACTTGCTGAAGAAAGTTCTTTTGGCCCAAGGATGCACCCTACAAAAAGGAGGATTAAATCGGCCGTGTTTTGTAACCACGTCCTGAATTACGTTTAAAAAAAAAAAAGCCGCATTCAAAGAAAAACTTCCAAATTTGAATATTTCTTGATCATGATTTGGTATATCAATTGAACGGAACCATTTTTTGAATCATTTTCCATGTTGACATTGTTACAAAAAATAAATCTCTAGATGACAATAAGGTTTAATTTTTAATATGTGATAGCAAAAGTTGTTCCAGAACAGTAATGTAACACGAAAACCCATCGGGCTAGATTTGGTTCGCATTAACCCTCTGTTATACAAAGGTTCTCGCGAAGAAAGTAATTCTTTGTAGTATGAATTTTTGCAGAATAATAACATCTTCGATTGACATTTGGATTACAACGGCTCGCGCTTTTGATCCTCATGTAAGACTTTTCCAAAAAGCAGTTTGGATTACAATAAGCGGTATGGCATGTGGTATATAATACTATATGGTATTTAAAGGTTTGTCTTAATAGTTTGTAATGTTTTAATTTGCTTTTCCCAAAACGATACTATTCTGCATTTATCGAGTCCTGAAATTCTCAAAAAGATATCTTTCACAGCCACGTTGACACTTCGCATTTTCATTAACAGCTAATGTAGCAAGACTCGTTTCGATTATGGAAAAGTTGCAAGCAGCAAAATCCATTGTATTTTAATTCTTTATTCTCCTTAAAGTAATAATACGGTGCCGTGTTTGGCTTACAAAACTTCCTTCCTATAGACGAATAGAAGGTCAGTTGAAGCGGATGAGAAGACAAAATACAGGGATGAAATTTATCAAGTTATGAGATCGCGGAGTGATTACATTTATCGAATTCGATCGACCATAGAGATATGTGTATCAAAGTCATCCTTCATTTTGACCAAAAAAACAAAGAAAGCGAAATGACTTTCCGAACAACATAATAGAAAAAGGTGTTAAAAAACAATTTTCATATGTATTTTAATGTTTAATTAATTTGTCTAAAATATATTTTAAACAAATTTTTACTACAATTTACGTTAGGATATCAATTGGTTTCGTATATAAGTTATCTTTATTATTCATTGGCTAGAAAAATGTCGCCATTTGGTGTCCTTAATAATTATCATTAGATAATTGTTATACATATATACATATATATCTCGTATATTACAGTCATATAAACATATGAGAGTCAATGTCAATCAAGTGCTTTTAAGTGTTACAAGTTTAAAAATATTCAGATTTAACTTATAATCAATCGATTGAAAGGCAAGTGAAGCGCACAAATCGAATTCCGATTACAAATGTCTTTTGATGCGTATTTCTACTGATTGCAAATAGATCTATAAAATCAAACAAAGCGATTTTCGTCGGTGTTGACATAAATACATTTTTGTAAATATGTTTTCAAAATGTTCACAAGCAATTTTTCGAATATTTAAAATTATTTTAAAATTATTTTTAAATATTCGAAAAATTTGACCATTTGCCAAAAATAATACGCGATTGCAGTTCGAACAATAGAAAGAATATTTCTGGTTTTATTCGAATCCTCTAGCGTCGATCATTTAAATTTTGAACCCATCACTTATGTGAACAATTTCGTTACGCCGCTTGAGTTATGATGATATGTTGAGTTTGTGCCGATAGATGGCACATCCAGAGGGACTTGAGACTCGATTTGTAATCATTTTCCGAATCATTTACCGAGTTGATGTAAGCTTGTCTGTCCCTCTATACGTAGTGTTTTCTTGTGTTCGACGTACAGGTTTTAATGGAGTTTGGAACAAGGACAAACGCTATCGAAAATGGCTCGAGTCGGACCAGTTTTTCAACAATTTCCCCTATCACGCTTCATTCCAGAAACTCGTTGTAAAAATAACTGTATGGTTATGTAACGTATTTAATGATGAGACCTGCCCCTCTACAGCCTCTTTCCAATTTTCAATTCTGAATTAATTTCCAGCGCAATTTTTAGCGGCTATATAGCTATATAAAGCCACGTAATAACTGAATTCATTCACAATAATCGGGTTATCATCATAAATATATATATATATATATATATATATTTATAATCATTTCCGATCTCTTATATATAAAGAAATAATTTGTAATAAACGTTTCAAGTTATCGGGTGTAAAGTGTTGAGGAGAGGATTTCACTTATCTGTAGTATTCATATTTGCATATCATTCTCAATTAATTCATCATTTGTGCAAATACACTATGTTTATATTTTGTGTAAATATGTCGCGTGCTCACATTTTCGTCAGCTACGATGCATTAAATGAAATGAAACTATAGAACGTAATAAAAGAGATTTTTATTGTTCGGAATAATCACAAAATTGTTATGTTATTTAAAAAGTGCAAAAAATTTACAAAACACTTACCCCTCCATGTTATAGTTTTATAGTCGCGACGTTCTTCTATATAATAAACTTTTATAAAAGCAACAGAGACAATCATTACCGTTATTATTGTCATTACTATTATTGTTTAACATGTCGTCTGAAACAACTGGATTACTACGTGTGGGTAAGCATTATTTGCATTACATTCACGAAATGTATATTAAAATATTAATTGAATATAAAAAGAGATAATAGAGAAGGTAGTACACAGCATGTAATAGAGAAAATAAATAAGAAAATTATATCTATTTTTCTCTATATATCGATTTCTGTATCACCTGTGCTAACAGGTCCGCTATGACAAAAGTTTTTAAATGAAAAAGCAATTATGTCATTTTAAACAGGATCGCTATGGTTCACTTCCGGATCGATATTTGTTTTTCTAGTCCGGAAAGTGCTATAGTGAAAGTATTTCGAAGTTCAGAAAGTTCTTCTTACAAATTGATCACAGCGTTAAATATTCTACACTACTCTCCAATTATTCATACGGCGACTTTTCAAAGTCGACTTTTCAAGTTGGCAAGTGATCAAAAAAGTGGTCCGATCCAAACCAATTTCAAACGACAAAAGTGTTCTTGGGCTAGTGTACTAAATTGCATCGAAATATTCAAAAAAATTTCAACTTGTAGATTGAAAACAAGACGGACATACGTATAGACACGCTTAAATCAAATCAGAAAGCGATTCTGAATCGATTGTGAATTGATCTAAGCCTGTCTGTCCGTCTGCTTTTTGTCCATGTAAATTTGTGTTCAAGTTACAGGTCGCAATTTTGGAAACATTTCGATGAAATTTGGCTCAGTGACGTGTTTTGACCCAAGGACAAGCGCTATTGAAAATGTCCACTTTTTCGACCGCTCCTCATGTAGCGCCCTATTCCGAAAGGTCGTTATAAGGAAAAAAATTGTAATTTTCAAAATTTCTCAGCAAAAGGGGGTAAGTAGTAGTGTTTTGGCTTTCCAAAATAGTATGGAAACTTTAGATCGACTGGGGCAATTTTCGAACACGCTTATATAACGAAAACTGGGCTTCTCACGGTAAAAAGGCACACTTTTCAATGCTACGTGAAGAAAATTTAAAAACAATAGTAATTTCGTTCGTCTTTGAGCCACGATACGTGGGTATAGTAAATTTCATCAAAATATTTCAAACACAAGTCCACAAAACGGACAGACGGACGAACAAGCTTCTTCTTTGATATAAAAAAGGGTCTATCTCATGTTCTTCTAGGTGTTGCATACTTCTGCAGAAACACACCCACTTATACCACAAATGGTATAGGGTGTGTTTAATTCATCGAGACACAAAAAAAGAAATTTTAATTTTGCCAATATCTGGGGGTTTTCACATATGAAATCACAAGACTTAAAGTATAACTTTTTGTTAGAAGTATAGTTAATAAATGTTGTATTGCCTATCCCGATTGCTCAAACCTGTTTTGACAGATCAGAAAGAAAGAAAAGAATAATTTCTCTTCATATCTAACTAAATTGATTATTTATTTAAATATAACTAAAGTTTGATTGATTGATTGATCGCGCAAAAATTGGAAAAACTGTTGTTGTATATCATTGAACAGTCCTATCCAAGCCATGCTATATCATGGAAACTTTTCTCTAAGCAGATGCTGTCTTCTATTGTTCAATGAGCGATGCCATCGATTGCTCGATAAATTTTTTTGAATCGTGCCCTGAGCCGCTATAAATTAAGCTCATGATAAGCACTTATTACCTAATCGCCCTTTCGAACCTATGTCGTACCACCAGGTAATTCCGTTAGAATGTAAACGCATTCATTAAATTTACACGATGTCTTCAACCCTCTTAAAAGCCACAAAAGATCAAATGAAAGGCGAAAAGTAGACGATCAGTTCCTATGAATGTGCTCTTTTATGAATGATGCTACGGTGGCTATAAAGAAAGATGGATCATGTGGATCGAAGTAAAAAGTCATAAATAATTAAGACATCATCAGTAATAAGCCTCAGATGTAGAATATCTCGCAATAATTTTTGCTTCCCCTTCTTTAATTTATTTTTAACTCTTTGTTCCATTTTTTTTTTTTTTATTTTTAGAACCCCAAGCTCGCTCTTTTGCTGTGCGACGCAAGTCAGTGTTTGCCGAGTCTTATGATCCAGAAAATGATGCTGACGATGATGAGGGCGCCACTGCCATCTTCCCTAAATCAGATGAACAGCGCGCACGTTTAATAGAATCTGTTAAACATGTATTATTATTCCGCTCCTTGGAACAGGAACAGGTCCGTATCATTATTAACCTTATTTTTTATAGTACATAATCGATAAATTCTATAAAATTTTTATTCGTTCTTACAGATGAGTCAAGTATTAGACGCTATGTTTGAACGTAGAGTAACGCCTGGCGAACTTATTATACGTCAGGGAGATGATGGTGATAATTTTTATGTTATTGAATCGTGAGTAATCTTTTTTCATTAACGCATTTTTTCATCAGCAAAGAAAGTTTTCTGATTTACATGAAAGGGCACTACATATATTATGAAATTTCGCTGTAGGTTATAGCGAACAAGAAAATATTTTCTTCGACTTTCTAGTATTAAGATTTTTGTTAAAAGTGTATGAATCACTTCAGATGTAATGTACAATTTTTTGTGGAACTGGCTCTTCTAAATTTCTAAGGGAAATGGTTTCCCTGTTGCGTAAGCTCTTACGCCTGTAAAACTGCCTGATACTCACCTAAATCAATACATTAGAGTTGCAAAGCTTTTTCCTTCAATGTCGACGCATCAAGATCTCTTGGTAGAAACCGCTTTTACATTAGCCATTTAATTGACCATGACAAATATTTTTATCAAGTTTTAAATCAGTTTGGATCAGACTATATATCAGTCTTTAAGGTTCATATTTATGCCTATTATTGGGACGAATCAGGCGTAGTGTGTCAAGCAAAAGCAATGAATTGTACGACAATTAGCAGAGTTGTCTCCGTAGTAAGTAAGAAAAAATAGTTTTTTTTGCGAATTTCGACTTCAAAAATTATGTAAATCAATTCGCTGTACTCGTAATACTTCGGCACCTTCTTGTTATACCCTGATTTGGCAAAATGCTCACCTACGATTTCGTCATTTGGTCCAAAAAGATTTGGGCCTACTAGGTTTGCAAAACTAGATAGGTGAACTTCAATTCAGGTAATATAGTGAAGCTTGTGATCCAGTGTCTTTATTCGACTGCGAGCAACCAGGCACTGAGATTTCTCATATTACATAGTTTCTACTATCTTCCGAACTTTAATTCGATGATCTTGCAGGCATGCAACTTTTGGCGGACCTCAAAATTTATCGTCACGTAACCTAGCACGGCAATACTTCCGTTATAAAGACCTAAAATTTCGTTCTGTAAATAAGATCCAGAAAAGGTCTGTACACGGCTTCCCTTGTGCAGACGTAGCGGCTTTCAAAAGTGAATATTAAATGACGAAATACCTCTTTTCTCCGTTTTCATAAAAACATTCTCATCAAGCCCACTAAGTGCTTATTCCAAATGGCTGAAATTTTAGGTGTGTAGGCACAAGGGTGTTTCTCATGTTTAGTGAACAAATGTTAACATTTTCATGTTCTAGTCAGAAACCCTTCTTTCTTTCGTGTGCGAGGATCAGATCATACCCCACTTTTAGAAGTACACCGTGGTCTCAATTTTTATGGACGAGACTGTTTCCCCAACAGACAACAGGCAAACAGGTGCATGGATTTGTCAAATATCAAATTCTCGGTACACCTTTGAAGCAAAAGCGTTTGCCATAGCGAATGAATTTTGCGAGTGCGCTTTAGCAAGGCTACGCTTCTGCTCCCGCTTCGAGAACAGTTGCGCATTCTATTTGCGTACAAAAAAATCGTTGTCTCATAAAAGATCGCAACAGAGGCCCAATTAAGTTCGACAATGAAATTTCCATGCCATCCGTTACTTTTTATATTCTACACAACTGATATGAATGTGTGCAACACCCAGAAAGACTTGAGATACACTCACTTCTAAGTCGATTTAGGTTTGTCCGTGCATCTGTCTATCTCGTTTCCTTTCGTTCAAGCTACAGGCGAAATTTTTCAGATAATTTGATGAAATTTGATACAGTGACCGAAGGACGGCCGCTATTGAAAATGGCTCACATCGGACTATCTTTTTGATCACTTCGCATACAACGTTTTACTTTGAAAAGGCGATATACATAGATGCATGCAGGTCGCGTAGGTTATTTAACGTTGGGCCATGCCCCTCCTTAGTGTTTTTACTTATTCAAATTCTTTCTCAAGGTAAATATTTCATATCGAAAGTAAATACAGCCATGTATAGGTTAACTCTATATATGATTTTTAAAATTTCGTGCATAAATCGTTTTGCTCTTTTGCTATTTTCAGTGGTGTCTACAAAGTTATAGTAAATGATAATCACATTCATACATACAACAATAGCGGCATTTTTGGTGAACTAGCTCTACTCTACAACATGCCACGGTAAGCATTTTGTTTTGTAATCTAATAGATTTGTTTTTTTTTTGTTTTTTTTTTTTCTCTAATAAAAGTTGAATCATTTCTTTTTCTATTATTCCATCGTCCGGAGTAGAGCTGCAACTGTACAAGCCGAAACGGAGGGTCTCTTATGGGCAATGGATCGTCAAACGTTCCGTCGTATACTATTGAAATCCGCTTTCAAAAAGAGAAAAATGTATGAATCTCTACTGAATAGTGTGCCAATGTTGAAAGCTTTGCAGGTTTGTATTAAAAATTACGAAGCAACGACAAGAGTTCGGAAGAAATTGTTAAAAAAAAAAATTCAATTATATTTCATATTCCTTTCATCTGCTGTACTGCATATATATACTAACCTAACATATACACAACCGTACGTACTATATCGATAGAACTATGAGCGCATGAATTTGGCCGATGCTTTGATTAGTAAACGTTACACCAGCAGTGAAAGAATCATTAAACAAGGTAAGTGAATTATGAAAAATAATAAACGATAAAGGAAGAAAGATAGAAGAAATAGAGAGCAAGAAGTATCCTATTTGTGTGTGCCGTAAAATGCATTGATTTGTTTTTGTTTTTGCTGTTTTTTCGTTTTTCTTATATTGTCTCTCGATTGCCTCTCGAGTAGGTGATGTGGCCGATGGTATGTACTTCATTGAGGACGGTACCGTGGTTGTTAAAATGGATCAGGAAGGTTCGGAAATTGAAATTTCCCGCCTCTCAAAAGGCGAATATTTTGGTGAATTGGCTTTGGTTACACATCGACCACGTGCGGCTTCCGTCTACGCTGAAACTGACGTTAAAGTGGCATGTAAGTCATTATAACAAAATTCAAATTTCTCTTATATTTATAATACATACATACCTTATGTATTTAAAATATTGCTTAGCTGTACGAAAAAAAAAAAAGAGTCAATCAGTATTAACTTTAACGAGTCTTCGTAGTTATATTATGTTATGTTTAGAGAAATTTGCTTTGCATTTATTTCTATTCTTCTAATTAATTCTTGTTTACTTTTTTCTTTTTTTTTTTTTTTTTGCAAATTTTTTTCTCGTTTTATCCATTACAACCGTACACAAAAACACACACTTTTATGTCTGTCGTTTGTCTTTATGAAATTTTATATGATACACATACACGCCCACACCCAAAACCATATTTGAAAACACCCCCTCTTGTCCGTTACCCCTCTCAATTTCTCTGTCGCTCTCTCTCTCTCTCTCTCTCTCTCTCTCTCTCTAATATATAATCTTTTATCAAATATTATATAAATTTCGCTGTTGCTTGCTGCTCGTTGTTTTTTTTTTTTAGTCTTAGATACCATTTGTTTTGAACGCTTATTGGGCAAATGCTCGGAATTGCTTGAACGCTCTATAAGCGATTATCGTTATTTAGATGATGATTTACGCTCTTATTTTAATAGTTTAAAATCTTTAAGCAGCTCTTAAACAATGTAAAGAAAAAATTGTCTTCAATAAAAGAAAGAAAGAAAAAAAAAAAAAAAAAAAACGCAAAGAACTTTTTAGATACGCTTTTGTTTTTCTTCTTCTTTCAAATTAAAATGAAATAATTTCTCTAAACTTCTTCAAGTCTTGGAAACTGAAGCCTTTGAAAGAATACTTGGTTTCCTTAAGGACATCCTAAAGAAACGTATGGGAACTTATGAACATCAATTAGCTCAATTGGCCCGTCAAGCATTGTAAAATTGAAAAAAAAAAAATTAAATATTTTTTCTGTTTTTTTTTTTTTTCTCCTATTTTTGATTTACACTTCTTTTGTGTGATATATATTTTTTTTTATATTTTTATTAAAAAACATTTAAAATAAACAAAACAAGAAAAAAAAAAAGCAGCAAACAATTCACAGAATAATGATGTACTGCTTTTAAGATCCATCTCGCAATTTTTTTTTTTTTTTTTCTATAATCTTTAGAGTACTACATATAGCTTCTCTCCAACTCTCTCAGTGTTGTTAAATATGGATAAAAAAAAAAAGAAAATAAAAAAAAAAATTGAAAAAATCTAGCTAGCACTCTGTCTTTTACTATAGCAGTTATGTACATGCACTTTAAGGCAGCTTTGCTGTTCTGCTGTTTAGCTATTTTATCTATCTATCCAGAACGAAAAAAAAAAAAGAAAAAGAAAAGAAAACACACAAACATCTTCGTTTGGTAAGAAATATTTAAATTTTAAACAAATTAAAGAAAAATAAAAAAAAAATAAAAAAGACGTATGTAGTGACTAAATACAAAAAGGGATCGCTGGAATAATCAAGAGCATGACCTACTACTTCTTCTTCTTCTTCTTGTATGTAACGAAAGGTATGAAATTAATAAAACATCACTTGACCTGATTAATATACATTTGAAACACAAAAATCTTGATTTTTTTTTTTGTTTTTTTTTTTAAATGGATTTAATCTTTTTATAAAAATTGTTCTAATCGTTACTCGTTAAGTAAGTTGAGTTTCCTTATGAAACTTTTCGTTTTTTTTCCTATATATATATAAAAAAAAAAAGAACACCATATTTAAGATATGTTTGCACTTGTGGAAAGTTTTGTTTACCCACCACCTGAGATGAAGAGACAAATTACTTGTCCAGAAAGTAGAAATCGCGAGGGTCGATCACATGGAAACAAGAAGAATAGAAATTTCAGTTCTGTCCGAGTTGTTCAGTGCCCCATCGCATCATCAGTTATGAAAAAAGATCGCCCGACAAACACGACCAAACATCGAAGAGCTCATAAATATGTTATTGTAAATAACTTTTGATCTTTACATCAGATATCAATCCGGGTCACGTTCGGCACAAAATTTTGAAATCAAATAAAATGTCACTGCACATATAACATTTACGAAAGCTACAGATTATGAATGGATGAATACTTTTTGTGATCGCTTTAGTAAAAGTCTGAGAAGAATGCTCTAATCGTCAGCTGGTTATGAATAGAAATTGCACCCCCGTGAATAAATTTTAAATGGCGAACTTTTTCACGACATTCAATCTTTGCTAAGTATCCGACATGCTTAGAATACAATGGTATTAGACTTTTACCTCTGAAGTCATTTTAGAGTACAGCCATATGCCAAGTAGTCTCAAGCAGCTTAGTGAGGACATCTAAAGCGAAAATCCCAGCCATACTTTAAAGTAAATAGAAAGACGAAATTTTATTAATGCGAATTGCATCACATACATACATTTACCCGACATTACTTTTTCACACGCCGACGAGATAAATCTCTCATATCCGAATGCTATTACACCACAATTTCAAAACGGTTATGTATCGATTAATATCATGCAGATGTCGCTGCTTTACGGAGAAAATCTAAAACAAAAATGCAAGCCAGAATGACAAATTTGACTGTGAATCTTTATCTATACGACTTCAAGCATTGTGATGCGCATTTATCTGAAATTTTTTTTTCACATGCCGAAGAGAGAAGTCTCGTATACCCGGGTTATATCCATACCCTGATTTCAATATATAAAATTTTATGCTCTTTCCTTTCGTGGAATGTGGCACGCCCCGCATGAATGAATGTTGAATATTTGATCTGCTATGAGGAACCATTGACACTGTATACCATTGAAATGGATGTTTATAAACTTGTTTGAGGTGGTGGTGCGTACTCTTAATATTCGCCATAAGGCGAATATACAGTTTCCTTACTTGCTTCTCTTAAGATTATTTTTCCACAATATATACACCCTACAATTATTATTGTTCTTTAATAATAGCAATCCTTCCTTAAGTAGCAACATTTCCGCAAAGTAGCATTGATTAGTATGTAAGCCATTATTTCCCCTGTTTGTGGGCGGTAAGGGTTCATGTAGCTTGAATGAAGTCTGATTTAGATTTTCCATTTCAATATGTAAAAGTAATTGTTTAATTGGGTTTCGAACTGCTGCCAATCCTTAATCAGTACTCGCGTTTGTTACACTTATTTATCTTGCTAAAGAAGACACGATTGTGCGACGTCCGATGACGGCGCCTGTGCAAAGACGAAAGCGATGTAGTTATCTATATGTCGTACGATGTCGGAAGACGACGTTGATATAAACAAACAAGCTATACGAAGCCTACAGTGCAGTTAGAATGAAAAACTTTTTATAGTCTTTCATTCGATTGTCCTTAACTCCTGCTTAAGTCAATTGCAATCAAGCTATTAAGCTAAATATTCCGAAGACTAATAGTATCCGTCTAAATAGTATAATAATTTTTTGATAAAACAATTTTTTACTTATTCTTCTATTTTTACGTCTCACTTACATTCTTTTCTCAAGTAGAAGGTTACATAATTTTGTACTTACGAGTCCTTTACATTTTACTTGGTGGTTAATCAATACCACAGAGAACTCCTACGTCTTCTCAGTACACGTAGAATGAATATTACTTATTATTATTTTATAACCGCTCACAATATGTTGTGCCTTTGCAATAACGGAACTAATAAGCTTTGTCTTTGCGTATACATGTTCGCATCACAGTGGGCGCTTTTAATAGAATAAATTGAGAGCATTTGCTTTAAAAATGTAGCACACACTCTAATAATATATTATTTATTTATTATATTCATTAAATATAAGAATAATTTTTCGTTTGACACTTTCGTTGCTATCATTTAAAGTGTAAAAGAAAGCAAATGAAAAACATTTCAACCCTTATAGTAAACAGGAAATGTTAAGTAAATAAAATGATGACAAAAAATTGCATTACAAGTTGTTGTTGCTGTTACAAAAGACCCCTTATCAGGATGAATAAATTTGCTAAAAACGCCGCCATCCGTCCAAAGAAAACGTTTCCTTACTCTAAAGGCAGTAAAGACGGCTTTGCCCATCCAAAGAGAACCTTACCTCACCACAAAGCTAGTAAAGACGGTTTTACCCATCCAAAGAGAACCTTACCTCACCACAAAGCTAGTAAAGACGGTTTTACCCAACCAAAGAGAATCCTACCTTACCGTAAAAAGTAGTTTCCACGAGTTTGCATTTTAAATACATTTTCAATTTTCATTATTCTTTCATTCAATTAAGCGATATTTGTTGCTAGCGGCTTAGAGTAGTCGCCCTATCCCTATTCTTCGTTTTGAAGGTATATTAACGATTTCTATATTTTCAAATACAAAAAGAACATGACGTTTATATATTCTCTATATATTTTGTAAATAAATATATTAAGTATAGATTTAAGAGACTGCCGGATAACTTAGATCGCATATTACCCTATATTCAAAACTCTACCGCATTTGCGATCTGAGCATGACATAATATTGTCTTTATTAAAACTGCCTGTCTGGAGAAGCCAAGAGAGAACTTTGGAAGAGAAAGCGAAAGATTTATTCGACAACTAAATAGTAGCCAGGGTTCGCTTTAAACCGTTGTTAAAATGGCTTTAAAGTGTAATCAGTTACCAGCGAAATGCTTTATAGCGTTACATATGTAGAACTGGCAATGTAACCTCACTTCTACATAGAGCTTCTAGGCCAATTTAAATTTTATGTAGAATTGAAACACTTCTGTATAAGTCATTCACAATTTTCATTTATTCGAGTCCTTTATCCGGGTTTTACATAAAGAAAACATAATGACAGAATAGAAAGTTTTCAGGAAATAAAAAAAATGTCAACTCCATTATTATATCGTGTATTTACTTGCATGGCAGAATTGCGGATCTATTTATTTTTTATACCCTAAACACAAAGGATATTAATTTTATGTGGAGGTACCTAACGCCCGGAAGGACTTCCATCTTTTATTATACTAAGCTTTTCCACCCGTCCGTTTTGTTTACTCAGCCTATAGGTCGTAATTTTTGAGACATTTTCAGTAAATTTGGTACACCAACATCTGCTGGCCCATGGGCGAACCTTCAGATAAGGCCACTCCTTACATAAAGCCTTATTTAATACAGTCGTATCATGAAGAACTCCTTTAAACGAAGCAGTGTAAGGTACTTAATGGCATTCTTTCATTACGCGATCGATTCAGAATCATTTTCTGTTCGTCTATTTGTCTGATGTCCGTCCATCTGTTATTGTGTCAAGACTACAGGTCGCAATTTATGAGATATTTTGATGACATTTGATGTACTGAGGTGCTTTGACTCAAGGGCGAATGGAATTCAAAGTGGTTTCAATCGGTCCACTTTTTCGACCACTTCACGTATAAGAATTTTATTTTAAAAAGTCACGATATGGAACAAAATTGCAATTTTTTAAGATTGCCGCTACCCTGTACTAATTTGGTTCTAGCATACTAAAGTACGTGTCAGGATCACCAGAAAGAACAGGTATACCTCACGGGCTTAAAATCGTTTAATTTGTCGATAAAAACGTACAGTCCGTCACATAAATTCTCTCAACTTATAAAAACTGTTCACAGACGTGATTGACTTGCAGTTCTATTCACAATAGATAGAAAATATATTTTACGGTCGCTATTGTAACTATAAAATTCGGTAAAGAGTTCTCTAGAGTTTCTGAAAGTTAGGTATAAAAATAACCTTGATTGATCAATAGCCGGAAGAGTTTCCGAATAGTTAAGAATCGCGTCACATAAATCAGTGTTCGCGGATTTAAATCTCACGTTGAGATAGAGTTTATTTTGATTGTCGCTATAGTGAGGGTGCAGTCAGCTGGGGCCACTACCCTATCTCTCGTAACCTTTCTTCACTTCTTTCTGACGGTCATTATGTTGTATGAGCAGGGGACATTGCCTGAGCGATTAAAAAAGAAAAAAAAATAAAAAAAAAACATCAAAAGCGACAATTAACAAATTATTTCGTTTTGGGTTCCAAGAATCCTGCATCCAGCCATTATGTAACTTTCATATTTTTGAGCGAAAAGTGCTACGAATCTTTTACATGCAAATCTTTACTAGAGGACAGAGACAACTATTAGCGATAATGTGATACCTTTTCATCTTTTTTAGTTCGGATAGTCTTTTAGATAATCTAGAGCTTGTCATCGTTTATGAACATGTATCGATTTAGGAAAATAATATACTCTGGCTTTGTGACCGGGTCATTAGACATTTCTTGTTACAATTTGTTTTGACTTTATCCCAGTTTTGTCATTCAGCAATGAATATTTTCTCAAGACAGCACTTTAATATCAACTGCGACTGCTCCTTATATCTGCCTGCTCTTCTGATGGTCCTTCTGCTCACCATCACAATACACGTATTATGGCATCCCCTGTGAGATTGAACATAAAACAATATAATAAAATGCACCATAAAAGAAAGAAGTGTCAGGTCACACAATGCAATGCAAGGCAATAACGTGCAATTTGTGACATATAATAAGGCGAGAAGTGTAAACTGAAGAAAAATTGAAATGAAAACCAAACATGACTTAAAAGGAAGGCATAGAAAAATATAATTTAATTGAAAAATTATTCATTGGCCATGAAAAGTTAATATACCTAATCATGAGTAGCACCTTTTTTTTTTACATATTTTATGAAAATTTTTTATTTTAATTTAAAAATCTTTAGACAAAGGCGTAATGAACTTTTGCCATATACGAAAATCTTCATGCCCGGCACCAGAACATTTTGCATTTATTTGTTTAAGATTGACAGGTCACTCTCATAGAATCACTGGAATATAAATATATATATGTATATTCGTATTTATTTGAATCAATTGTGTCTATCTGTACGGACTCTAGCGAAGTTCTAAGAACGATTTCGAAAAAGTGGATTTGGAAATATAAACCACTTATGTAAAGCTAAAAATGTTGGAAAAGTAAAAAAGAAAATATATTTTCTGACAAACACACATCCCTCACAAAAATCAACCGATAAGATTTCGTACTTTTTGTTTAATATGTTGCATCGTCTTTACGAAATCGTGCATACCTCGGACAAAACCATTCTTCCCGATTTTGCTTCAATAAGTTAAGAGAATGACGTTATTGTTTTTGGTCCTTAACTCTATTGTTTTCGTAATTTCTAGAGCGGGCCTGAGATGTCCGAGTAAACTGCTTAACAATTTTCATGTCTGGGACTGGCTTGGGAAACTGCTCAGATGAATTTAGAATTTCCAATAAATGTTAGTCGTTAACTCGCCTTACTTATCTCGCCGTTCTTTATAAACTCCGCCCGCCGCCACTACTGATTACTTCCAAGTCTTCCAAGTCTTCGAAATTTAGCAAATTTTGTTTCTTCTAAGCCACCCACAAAATTTCCATCCAGAAGGATAACACTTGGAAACTCATATCCATCTTGTTTTTTTGCATTCGGATAAAATCGTTTTTGAAGTTCCATATTTCATTTCATGGAATGAATTTAATTTTATTTCTTCTCCTTCTATAAAAAAGCAAGTAAAACCACGGTAGTGGGCCACGGGTTGCCATTGAATATATTGCGCCACCGTACATTTATAGTTATTCATAGTACAGTTGTTCATATAAAAAAGCTTTGTAAGGGAAGCCGTCGAAAAAGTGATCCTAGCCGAACTATTTTTGATAGCGTTCGTGCTTGGGGCAAACCATATTAGTGTATCGAATTTCATCAAAATGTCTCAAAAATTGCTTCCTGTAGGTTGAATAAAGGAAAAAAACACAGACAGGTGGTCAAGCGGAGAGGCGAACTTAGGTCGAATCAGAAAGTCACGTCAATCTACTAAATTTCATCAAAATATTTCGAAAATTACGTTTTTTTAGGTTGTACATGAGAAAACAAGACGAACCGACGAACCGACAAGCTTAGATGGATTCAAAAACACTTTCTGAAATCGATCGGTATCGAATTGTTAGATGGTTTATCTGGGTGTTGCGTACATCCGCACAAATTGAACATATCCTTGTAGCATAAGTAGTGTAGGGGATAGGCACAAAATAATTATTTTCCAAACTTAAGTTCGACTTTGTTCGTTTCTATATATATATATATATATATATATAAGCGCTCAGACCTAACCATAGCATATAACCACCGATAAGGAATGTTCTCAAGTTGAAATCTATGGCCCATTACTCGGTCAAGTGTTTGAGTGTTATATGTGATATGACGTAGAGAGGTGATGGGTATTAAGAGATTCGTCTAAAAATTTCTCATTGTTGCATGTAAATGTTTTATTTGTTTACTGTTTTTTTTTTTTTTTTACTTTTTAATACTCTTTATATTTTATTTCGCATGTAGTGAGATGCATGAACAAGCAAGTGCATGTTCGCTCATATATATTTAATAACGAAAAAAATTTTCAATAATATTTTAGATATTAGAGAAGAAGAAAATATTAATAAAAAAAAAATTGTTTTTTTTGTGTTTTATTTTTTTAAAATAAATTAGTCCTAGAGGTTGAGGCATTTGAGCGTTTATTGGGTCCGTGCATGGACATCATGAAACGGAATATTGATGATTATGAAACGCAATTGATAAAAATCTTTGGCAGCAAAAATAATATCACCGATACGCGATAAAAAGTCTGACAAAAAATAAAACAAAAACAAAAAACGATTATAATAGAAGAACAACAACAATAATAATAATAATAATAATAACAACAACAACATCAACAATAATAATAATCATATTTGCAACACAAAACATTGCACAAACAAACTTATATACATATGCATAGAAATTTATGAGAACGTAAATAAGAGGCGCAAAAATTGAACCAAACATCCATACACATACACACATACATACACACATCTGCATAAACAAATTTGATCTTTTGAAGCAAGAAAAAAAAACACATATGAAAAATTAAATTTAAAAATTAACTTTAAGTATAATGTTTATCTAAATATAAAACTAACAACAACAACAACAACAAGAACATTTAATTATACCAAAAATCATACATGAAAGTAATTGTACACATACCTATAAACATAAATATATAAAAATGCACCTACATGCATATAAATGTATAAATATACAAACATTTTGATGTCCACTAACGAAGGAGGGCAGTTTTCCATTACATTTTCCACACTTATCTCATTTGTGATAGCGATCGAATAACCGGCAAGCAAGATTTTCAAACGATTTTGCTTTGTCCGTCCCCCTATCTGTTTGTCTTCTATTGACTTTGTCAAGGACCCGTTAATTGCTACGAAAAAAAAAAATCAAAGGTTGACATAGAACCTATTATCTCGGTCTTGTCCATATACGCAATCCATTACGCAATAATTCGGAAAAAAAATAAATTTTTTTTAAAAGCTATCGAACCCTTCAATACATTTTTACCAGATTGTAGAATAAAAAAATTGTAATCTTATCCCCTTTAATCTATGCTAAAACCACAACGATCGAGGAACTAATAAAATAAGAGGGTGTTATTAAGCATATGTGGACGTTTAAGCTGAGTTTAAAATCATATTTCCTATCATCAACGAATGGAAGAAAAATTTTATACGATACTTACGGCATACAGTAGGAATAAAAAAGACGGAAAGAGGGATCAAAAGAATTTCGCTTTTCTTATAACATTTAATGGAAACTTAATCCCCATTTAACGATTTATTGTATCATCTTATCTTTATTAAGGACATGCTTCTGTAAACATACCCAAAGGCTAATGAAAATCGAAAAGAATTTAGAAATGTTAGCAGATCATCATCGTCCTTCATATCTAAGACGTTGCCTTAGCTGGAAACACTTACAATAGTTGAAAGTCTAATGAAAGAAAAAAAATGTACTCTCAAATTGAAATTTTCATATATCACTGATATCGAATTCAATGGGCAGTGAATGATGGGAATGATCACAATCGATCGGTGCACAATTGCTTAAAGACCCTTCAAGTTAGTGGGCATCCGAAATTTGCTTAAGGGCAAATGTTTATTTCTTACTGGTTTTCTTTTATTGATTTAAGAATTTAAAGAAAATCTTGAAAAACGCATGCATCGGTATATTTAGACGAAAAAGAAAACAAAGTAAAAGAAAAAAAAAAAAAAACAAAAATTGAGAAACAAACCAAATTATTATGATTAAATCTTGACCTGAGGAAAAAGGAGAGTTTATATTACTTGTAATAAAATTTCATAAAATTACGCGCACACACCCACACACAAACACATAAACACATAAAAGTACACCTATATGTATAAGATGAAGAGATCAAATCCTTGAAAATGCAGTCATTTATAACTTACTTAAATCATTGTTGAATATATAGAGAACAGATCAGAGTACAGTATCTTTGCTGTTATATCAAATGTATTAGTTTTTAAGGCAATCTACAACAACAATAACAAGGCAAATGCGCACACGCAAACCACTTTGCTTATTATAAACTATTTTCCTTTTTATTTTGAATATTTTTTTATTATAATTTTCAAAAAAAAAAAAATAATAATAATAAAAAAAAAAAATTATAATCATTGTTTTATTTGGATAAAAAAAAAAAAAAAAAAATTTTAGGTTCTGTTGGATTCAAACAAAACGAGAAAAATTTCAATAAAATTCGATTTTTAAATTTGCTTATTTCTTGAATTATTATTTTTAAAAAAGTTAAAAAGAAAATGACAAAAAATTTGTAAAGAAAGAAAAGAGAAATTGCTTTTCAAGCATTAAAAAAAATTGTACATTTTTTTTGGATTCAAAACAAAAAAATTAAATAAAATATATTTTGGAATTACTATTTTCAATAAGTTAAAACAAAAAAAAAAAAAATAAAAAAAATTCCAAGAAATTTTCAAAAATGAAAACAGAAACTGCTTTCCATCCATCCTTCCATCCTCCTCCTTTTCCCCCTCTTCCTTCTTGTTCACTTCTTTATGTTATTAATGTATAAGATGTTAATCATAAATTTAAATAATAAAACTCTAAACAACAATTGCTAAAAAAGTTTTGTGTCATATATACAATACAATAAATAAAAACTGATATTTATTTACTTATAAACGTTAAATAAACAATTATTTGCTTTAATTTTTTTATTTTTTTTTTTTGTTTTAAAATTAAAACATTTTTAAAAATAACTACAAACTCCACCAAAACTCTGCTTCCTTAACTATAAACATAGTTTATAAATATATACAAATACGTATGCATACATACATTATATATGTTTTTAAAATTTAGCAAAATTTTTGTTGCCTCTAACTTTGCCATGGTATAGTTTAAATGTATTATTAAACAAAAAAAAATATTATTTAAATTATTTGTAAAAATATATAAAATTTTTAAAAAGAAAAAAAAAGCAAAAGTTTTTTTTTTATTTCTTTTTTATATATATATATATTTATTTTGCATTATATAAAGGATCCTTTTATGTTCCTTGTTGAGTTGGTGTCTTTTGTTTTTCAAATTCCAACAAATACTTTGCACCGAAAGGTAGAGGTATACTAATTTTGTCATTATTTTTGTAAAACTCAAAAAAAAAAAAAAAATACGCCTTAGCTTGACGAGTTCACATATACCCCAGAAAAACTTCTTGCTTTATTTTTTTTTTCTGTTTACTTATAAAGAAAAAAAGGACAATTAAAAACATTACAATGGGACATGGCCTACCATTAAATACCGTACACCACATCGGTTAAAACGACTATTGAAAATACGTCCTGATACTGCAAAAGATCGAAAAAGTGCTCCAAACCAAACAATTCTCAATAGGGCTCGTTCCTCGGGGCAAAACATGTCGGTATACCAAATTTCATTAAAATATCTCAAAAATTACGGCCTGTGGGAAACGAAAAGAAAGCGGACAGACGGACAGGCAAGCTCAAATCGATTCAAAAAGCTGTTCTTATAATAATAAAAGTTAGGTCTTTCTCAAGGATTTATGGGTGTTGCATACATCCGTAAAAACTTGACATCATATGTTGTGTAGGGTGTAAAAATATAATAACAAAAAAAAAACAATAATTTACTGATTGCTATCAATTACAAGAAGAAGAAATTGTCAGTTCTCTGAATATGTTGGAATTAATTTTTTTTATTTTTTTTTATTTTTTTGCTATATATTCCATTTGTTTCGACTTGAGCAACCTAGTAAGCTTGTTCAAGGTCCAATTCCAAAATAATTAAATTAATGGATGGTTGGGCGATCGAGGCAGTTAGATGTCTCATGCGTCAAGGGAGAAGACACGTCCATCACTTTACAACGGATAGGGATGTTTTCTTTGTTCAAGAGGATCAATGTCTAGATAGATCGGATTGCTTTCACTTTCTTAAATAACTACACTGCCACTATCACACACTTCATAAGTTAACTTTGAAAAGTTGTAATTATTATAATTGAAATTATTTTAGCATACGTTAAGCAGAAATTAAGGCTATCGGCTTTACCGAAAACTCTACCGCCCTTGAGATTTGTACCCACTACTATTGACTTGTTGTTGAGTAGAGATTCCTTGCCTTCTCAGCCTTATGCCTTATTATTTTTCTGCATCTTGGACCAAATAGGTGACACGGTACCGGTCAGACTGTGTCAAATTTTAACGTCTGCACCTGGCGTAAAGCCTCAATCAAATAAATTCCCCTAGAACCATTGGCAATAATTTGGTTGAATAGGACACCCCTAAGCAAGGTCATCCTGCAGGAGACAGAGTCTATTCAAAAATTGACGTACTAGATACGGATATGGTTCAAACTTTCTTCTGTGCGTAGGACGAGAGCTGTCAAGCACGTGGGTATATACTAGCTACCACGAGACCGCACCCAAGCGGTCAGGCCATACACATCGGTTAAACCTGTTGCATCGGTTGCACCTGTGCATTATATGTTAGCTTTCATCCGAAGGATCCGGCAAGTACCAATCAACAGATGTAACCAATGCGGCCAACCCTACCTGCCTAGGCGCGGTACACCATGAGTGAGCGAGCGAGCACGATGCCGGCCAGAAAAAAGTAAAGAAAGGGAACGGAAAGGATGACCTTAGCGAATGAATAATTACTATGTCTACGACCGCACTTCGGTTTTGGCCCACGAATATTGACTTGGTAGTCACTCTTGTTGATTAACTGTTTTCTTGGCACTAGATTGTCGAATTGTTTTGCAAGGCCCATCATTGCACCGACAATTGCCTCTATTGGCATAATTCGTTTTTGTCTCCCGTGATCTTGGAATTCGATGTGCTTATATAATATAACCAAACCTTTTATCATTCATGATAACTAGTTCTTCTTCTCTCACTTTGTATTGTTTGCGCTCGCCTTTGTTATTGGCGGTAAGAGCAGCGCAGATTTCCGCATGATTACATCGATTTCACGTTATGTCCGCTGCTTGCAAGTGGTCGTGCTTGCTTTTGTGTTATCTTTATTGTTATTATTATTTTTTTTTTTGCATTTCGCTTCTTTTATGCATTTTTTCCTTTGTTTCGTTACCATTGGTAACCGTTTTATGGCTTCACCGTAAAACGTTAGTTTGTTAGTTTGATTTCGAAACGAAAGTTTACAACAATTTGATTGTAATATTAACTGTACGTGAACTTGGTCCAATTTCGTTTATTTACACCATATGCAAAGCATCCAATTCTGTTATCCGAAAATCTATCAATTATGTTGTCCTAATTTCTCCCAATCATATTAGTTTCCGTGACGAATTCTTATTGAAAATACTATCAGAGTTACTAATGACTTGTGTGGCTTGTGCGGTAGTGTTGTGCAATACCTTCACATTTCACGTAATGAAGCATTTCATCAGGAATGAATGAATTATT